GCAGTGCCAATACTGTATTTGCTAATCAAGAACTAGAACTCTCCGGTTAGTGCGCCCGCCGCTTATTAACAGGTTGATCTGCACCCGAGGTGGGCTTAATAACCGGCGACTACTGTATTTATAAGTTCTACCAAGGCCCTTGGTCAGCTCTGCATCCGTTGTTTGTGTTGCAAAATTGCAACCTACAACCCAAGACTCTGTCCTTTTTTGCTTTTTTGACTAAGCATCCTTACAAAAGCGTTTGACGCCGGCGTGGATATGAAACAAGCATAATCATCAGCATTAGCTGGTTAATAACTTTTCTACGGCTTACCAACTGGTTTTGTAGAATCATAAAACGATTAATGAGTAAGGAATACGCAGGAGCCTTAGCTGCTGCAGAAAATCAATAAAAGATGATATGCTCTTTGTTGAGCCTAATCGATAACAAGAGCTCGCTTAATAACGCAACAAAATACGAAAAAGCCATGGTAATGGTAAAACCGGTGCGTGGATCAGAAATCTAGGGATTTGTATGTTATGGTCTAGTTTATCATAGGGCGTAGTTGTTTTCACCAGTCATGTTTTTCCTTTCGGGAATCAGCTGTCTCCAAGTTGAGCCTTCAATTTTAGAAACGCTTGAGTATAATTTCAAATCTTTAATATGCTGACATATAAGAAAATTCCACAGCATTTATGGTAAATTGCGGCTGCATAATGCTTTAGAAAGTGACATAAACTGGCTGAGCAGTTATAATTTGATGTTTTAAATACCTTTGATTGCAGATAAGCTAAGCGGTCAAACAGTACCTATTGAGTTGCGGTTTTTGCAGTACAGTCTTCATTGTACTCTTATCTGAAGTCAGGCGCGTTCGCTATCGCCAGTATTTGAGGAACCGGCGGATTTAAGCAGCTCCTTTATATTGTATTAACATATTCACAGCCAAGCATGTACCGGACTCTATTGGCAACGCATGTGCGTCGAGACAGAAGAGCAAACGACTTATCTGGAAAATTTTGCTTGTATCTGCCTCTCAGATGTTATGCTTAAACGCAAATTTCAGACAAGAGACAAGTCGAGTCCAAGCTATTATTCGCGGAAAAGGAAATTGAAAGAGGGGAGAGCATGATGTTGGGGATACTAGTATGATGGTGATGGTGTTGGGGCCGATCCCGGTTTTGATTATGATGATGATGATGATGATGATGATGATGATGATGATGATGATGA